ACATTATGACCCAGTTGTGTATTTTGAGACAAATGAAACCACTCTGTTGTTATATTGCAGAGGAAGATGTGTTTTTTCAAAAATCTAATTTCTCTTCCTTTTTCCTACTCATTAATTCAAGGGGATGGCTAACCTGTAAGTTCCTTTAAGGTTATGATTACAACCGTGCTAATGTCTTTTTCCACATGCTGCAGGATTTAAGTCTAACTCTGCAGATAACTGTTCACTCTCAAACAAACAGATGAGGCATTTAAACTGCGACAAGGGTAAGTAGCTTCTACTCACAACTACAGACAGGGCAGCGTGCATGTGATTATTTGTCTGATGAGTGAATTACTAAAACACACAGCAGAGAAGTCTTCAGTGAAGTGAAGAAATTTTCTGGGACAAAGAGTCATATGAGGCAATGACAGGCTCAGAGATTTTTCATTGTGATGACAGTAATAATGTTTTATAAATCGAGCAAACATTAAACCAGCAGGCAACAGAGAAAGTAGAAACTTGAAATGTTTGTTTTCATTATTGTTTAATCTGTGGATTATCTTCTGAATGAATCATTTAGCAGTGGTGGAATAACTGAGTAATCAGATACTGTACTTGTACTGCACAAATATGAGTATTTCTATTTTATGTACTGTTTTTAAATGCTATGTTGTTTTTAAATGCTGTAAAGCACTTTGTGTTGCTGTACTGTATGACAAGTGCTATATATTTGATTTGATTTGATTATGCACCTTTTGATATTCTACTGTATTAGAGGTAAACTCTTTTTTTGTACTGCAAAAATTATAGCTTTACAATGTTACACCCAGCATCAGTGAAAACCAAACCTCAAATATGAAGATTCTGGAATTTATTTTTGCTATAGTTCACAAATGATTATGTGACTTTTATTAGACATGTGGTTCTCCTAGGAGGGTTAAAATAAAAATAAATAACTGCAATTAAATTCTGAGTTACTGTCACTCCAAACTATTCCTTAAGACATGCTGACCGACCACAGAAAACAACAACAAAGTGCAATAAAACAGACTTGATGAATAAATGATGAGGCGCGTGAAGCCTGCGACTGCAACGTCACTCAAATCTCCAGTGAATAGACAAAAACATCAGATCTGCGTGGAGCCATCAAACAGAGGTTTCTTATTTGGAGCATGTTTTTTCTACATAATTTTCCATCATTTGATGCATGCTCTTTTTAATGCTTCATGATGTTGCACTCCGTCCTGTAGCAGTTTAAAGGCCCTGACTGGTGAATAAAGCGTCTCCACCTCCTCATATTCACACTACATGCATTGCAGATTTTCTGGACATTCGGTTAAACAGGAAGCTGGAATGTGAGCTCAGATTATACGCAGTGACATCAGATTACATGCTGCATTGTTTCCTGACTGTCCCTCTGGTGTATGAAGCCATTTAAATCCAGCACAGGAACAGTGGAATCAGCTCCTGACAATGAAAGCTGCTTCACAGAGAGATAATTACTGAGTATAAATACACTAAGTGACTTATCTTCTAACCTGAATGACCACAGAGGTCATTAGTTCTTAATTCAGTTCAGTTCAGTTTTATTTACATGATTTACAGCATTAAGAGGTGCACACACAGGAAGATTTTTAACTGTCGGCTGCTGCAGGAGACGGCTGCCTCTCTCGTTGCTCCGCAGCACCGACCGTTTTTTTCCTTGTTTTTTTACAAGTTATATCTAATCTAATATAAGATACCAGCAGTGACGTGGTGACCTTAAGATGTCCATGAAATTTGGATATTTTTATCAATGACAGGTGACATAACTGTTCGTAAACTAATCTCAACTACGAGGCCATGAAATTGAGGTGACTACCAATAAGAGCGAAGGATGCTGCTGATGACACATAACATCAAAAGTTTCCAGAAATGGCGAAGGTCACAGAAGTTAATTTTACAGTGAATGGAAGAATAGTATTGTAATTTTAGGAATTCAGTTTTCTTCTTCCTTATTCCTTACATTATAAAGTTAGATTAAAATGTAGACTTTCCCAGCGGTCTCATGTTTTGATTTAGTTTGCATTTTATACATTAGCTACAACGCAAGTTTAACAATTCAGGCTTTCTTACTGTTAGCCGGATCAACAAAACCTAATACCCCAATTAGACCTGATGGGCATCACAACTGCTATCAGATTTTGCTGTTAACCTGACTTTCTTCACCAGGTTCTGTGTGCACTCATAAAATAAATTGTCGTTCACATGTTATGTGACTCTTCTGCTGCACAAAAGTGACTGATGACGTGCTGTCGGCTTCAGTCAAGAGGAACAGATTGTCACGGAGAGCTTTGAAGAATATATTCATTTCTTCCTGTAGAAAATGCTGGAACTATAAATGTTGCAAGAAAGGAATGCTGGTAGAAATTGTTAACGCTGTAAGTAAATGTACTTATTGTCTCACTTATTAAACATTAATGCCGGTTAACTGTAAACTTCATACATTTAAATATGATACTGATTCCCCCCCCCCCTCCATTTCTCTCTCTCTGTCCTATCAAATAAAGCCAAAAGGCAAAAAAAAAAGTCTTTAACAAAAACAAAAATGATACTGAAGAGGTCCATTGAGGTCCAAGTAAACATGGAAAAAACTTTTGGTTTTGTCTAAATCAAAAGAAAACTAATGTTATTGATTGAATATTTTCTGTAATAAATAACAATAGACTGGCCAGTTTTCTAATCTGTGTTCAGCTGCAGTAGAAGCAGCAAGCAGTTTAAGCAGACCAAACGTAAAAACAAATTTATATATTTTCTGCATCGCCAACTGAATGCATGTAGGTTCTTATGGCAATGCAACGTATAAAGTTAACCAGCTGTAACTGCACAGCTTCGTTCAGTGGGATTACTAATATACAGATCAACAGGTTTGCAGACTGAACACATTCCCTCAACTGAGAATCTGTATCGCTCATAGAGAATATTGTAAAGAAAAGAACTGGTGATGGAGAGACGCTTCATCCAGCCAATTTAAATCCCAAACTCTGAACAAAACCTCCTCCAGAACAGGTTAGCATCAGCAGGGCAGCATCAGTTACCATGGTGATCTAGCAGGTCAAAGGGACACACCTCTGGCTTTAAATGGTCTGCACTTATATAGCGCTTTTCTACCTTTGCGGCAATCAAAGTGCTTTACAATGTTTCTCATTCACCCATTCACACACACATTCATACACCAACGGCGACAGAGCTGCCATGCAAGGCGCTATTCTACCATTGGGAGCCATTTGGGGCTCAAGGACACTTTGGCATGTGGGGGGGAACCGGGGATCGAACTGCCAACCTTGCTATCAGTGTACAACCCGCTTTACCACCTGAGCCACAGCCGCTCAACATACCTCGGCAACCCAATAATCCTCAAGCACACCTTCAGCTCAATAGCTTCCTAAATGGTTAGTTTTGTTGGTTTTCAGATGCCAACAGTAGCGTCCTTGTTCGTCCGATGTTACCACTTGAACACCAAGTATTTTGTTTACACACATTTCTATGTTGTTATCATGAGCTTACGAGTTCCATTTGAAGACAGCAAAGGTCCAGGGTTTTCTCAACCCATCCATCCACCCCCACATCCTCGCAAAGCCAGCATTGTTGCCCTAAAATGACACCACTTCATTTCCTCCTTTGCTCTCATCCTAAGAAGAAACAGGCAGACTTCTCTGTTGCAGATTCTCAAATGTTTGTTTCCTCCTCTATAACAGTAAACTTAATGTCTTTCAGTTGTGAACAAAACAGGACATATGCAATGTTGAGCTGTGGGAAACACTGATTCACATTTTTCATCATTCTGATGCTTTATGGGTTAAACAACCAATCAATCAATCCAGAAAACAATCAACAGGGTAATCGACAATAAAAATAATCATTAGTCACAGCCGTGCCAAGTTCAAACTTGGCATAATCTGTACTGAGAAAATAATCATTTGTCAGGCCTTCTGTCCAATAAACACATAAAAATAATGTTCCAAAATAATACCATGGCTTGTTGTTTAAAAGCAAAGACAAACAGTCTATTTTGCCACACAGCATGCAGGACCTCACAGTGGTTTTTGAGACCGAGCAATGCTGACGTCCATGTTAGAGCTGGAAAATATTGGTCGAGAATAATCAGCGACTTTTTTGCTCGGGAAGCCTTCATGCTCACTGCTCATCAAGAAAAAAAAAGCCAAACATTTGTTGGCTAAACGTTCATGAATGTAAAGGTTTAACGCTTTTTTGTCTCATGTGGCAGTATTCTGAATATGTTTCCACTGTTAGTCTGCTGAAACAACCAACTGACTACATTTTTGTCTAATATTTCTATCACTTAATCCAGAGAGCATAGGGCCGGTTTTCCATTTAACATGTTGATGATAACCCTGACTACATCAGCAAGGTTGACTCCTAATAAGCCACAGAAGACATTTTCTGTTTCTAAGGACAGAGGTACCAAACAGATGTGAGTGCTGAGCCTCCACACCGCCTCCTGTCTCCATCTGCTTGCCTGCCTGTTTCAAACATCAACTTTCCTCATGCTGTCAGACTGGAGGAATCCCCCCCCTCCACGTCTCCGTCTCCCACTCTGTGCGTGGGAAACCGTCTCACTGCAGAGCTCTCTGACAGGAGATCTCTCTCTCTGCGTTCCTCTGCATCCACTGCTGCCTGATCGAGGCTCCCACGCACACGAGTGGGCTCCGGTCCACATGGACTCTCTGAGGAAGCGTGCGCAGTCCGGACTGCTGTGCCAAACTGGTTGGGGCTGCACGCACAGTAAACAGCCCGCAACAGCGTTTATTTCAAGACTTCAAAGGCAGCATGAGTCTCCCTATCTCTCCCCCCTCCTACGAGCAGGAGATGTCTCCCAACAAGACAGGGATGCCCACAAAGACGAGTAGGCTTCGCAGCGTTTATAAGCCAAGCTGATGCGTTTGGACCGCGGCCAAGACACGGTGGGTTCAGAGAGAAACCAAACACATGCAGCAGGAGACAGAATGAAGCTGTACCTCCACTGGATGCGCTGCTCCACAGCAGCCCTATCCACAGCACCGCGGGCAGGGTGGTCCGGAGTCGGTACCCGACCGAGCAGGCGGCCGGTGGCATGGCGACAAGAGCCGGTTCCGGAGGAGACGACAGATGCAGGAGCGGAGGTCCGGAGAGTGAGAGCGGCGGCGGGGTGTCGGTCAGTCGGTCAGGTGGAGCCGGTAATAACGGGAGACGGTCCGCATGTCAGAGCAGCATCCTCCAGACTGCAAGGAATCCTGCTTCTACCTCCGATCCGTCCTCCTCCTCTCCTCCGCGGACTCTTCTGTCCTCTCTCTCTCTCTCTCTCTCTCTCTCTCTCTCTCTCTCGCTCGCTCGCTCGCTCGCTCTTGCTCTCTCTCTCTCTTTCCCTCCCTCTCTATCACCGCCCGCCCCCTTCACACACAACCTGACCTTAATGATAATGAAACTTTTGCGGGGAGAGAG